ATCACCCATAAAATATCTTAATTGGGTAGGTTACCCCACTACCATCATCTAATACGGGCTTGGCAAGCCCTGCTCAAATAAATGCGGGTTGAACGTAAAGCTGTGCCAGCCCATTTATGGATGATAAAAATGATGATCTATCTATTAACATCTATTAACAATGGTGATTTTTACCAGTCAGCCACGTTGAATAACCAGAGGGTACTCACAACGGGGCCCCACCTGCTAGGTGGTTCAAAAGAAGCCTGGCAGCGTACAAAAGGGGTTCCAAAATGACAAAACATATGGGACAAATCAGGGAACATCATCAAACATCATGAGGTTTGGGGTGACCTATGACCTAAGTTTAGAGATAGTTGAGGACAAGTCATCAAGGATGACTTGACGACAAATACTGGAAAGATGTTCAATGCAAAATGTCCACCGCTTCAAAATTGGGGCTTCCTCCCAAAAAGTGACCCGTACCTGCGAACGTCGCTAGGGTTTTTTGGGACTTTCTATCCTCAAATTAGAGAGTCATAGGGGCACTGTGGCGCGGGTGGGATGCCGGTCCGTAGCTTAACAATAGCGAGGAGGCGGGGAGTCCAATTTTGAACATAGGGTGTTTCCCAAAAAGATGCCGAAAAGCGTTTCCACTATCTACCCTCTGGTAATTTAACATAACTATGGAAAATCACCATTTTCAATGGGATAATCCACTGTAAATGGTCCTTTTCAATAGCTATGTTAAATTACCAGAGGTTAGCAGATGATTACGCCATAAGCGAAGGTTTGGAAGTGTCCAATCTATTTGGGGCTTCTGAAGCCCGTAGCCGATCAACTCATGCGCCCAGTGGGTCGAGGGAGAAGCCATAACTCAGCAAATAGTCCCATTCTAATGTCAACTAAATCCTGGTTGGTCCATAGATGTCACTCTTAAGCCTACACTAGTCGATTCTTAGTCAAGTTTAGATCACAAAAACCTCTGGTAATTTCTGAGTTTGCTATAGAAAATTGCCCATTTATAGATGATATATCTCATTTACCTCTAAAAAAATGGTGATTACCCAGCCGGCCATGACGCCGACATCCGCCGACATCCGCCACGCTGCGCGCCCATGCGCGCCCGCGCGCCTTCCTGGGACCCCGCTTGGGACCGGGCGCCCGACAACCAGACACACTAACCATCAATCAACTAAAATGTTCTAACTATTCAGCCATTTCCTCATCTTTGAGCCAAATATGGAAAACAATGGAAAACATATACATGTCATGTTTGAGCCAAATTATATAATATGTCAAAATTACATGCAAAGATTATGAATGAGCATATAGATGAACATAATATACTATATATAAATCTATATATCAAGTCCAATGATCCTTGACCCAGTTTCCATACAGAAACCCGCATGGAACCGAAGAAATGCGCATGGTCCAATGGTCTCATTTTCCATTTCCTCACCGGGGTTCCTACCCTGTCAAGGCCTCGTAACTTATGTTTTGGGGTGCCGGGGTGATTGAGCTCATTGACCCTCATTGAACCATATCAACTGAGCCTCTATTCTTGGGTGGGGAACTTGTGACTTCCTTAATTTTCAATCCTACAGGTCCTACAGCAATTTGGTCTTCTCAACCCTTTCTAGAGACACCCTTGAGGGCGCAGAGTAACACCTTTGAACCAATAAAACATGAGTCAATGATAAGCCATTCAAACGCGAATCTCAAGCCACAAATGATCCAATCACCAATCAAATTTAAAAGTCAACGATCATCAATGGCCATTTCAGGAACCTAAATTGGAGGTACCTACCATATATAAGGCCTATATAAGGCCTATGTAAGGGAATATCCACAAAATATGGTCTTATATGATCCTGAAATTCCCATCGAGATGATCACTGCTGGCCAAAAACAACATCTGCTCTATGATTTAAGTGACTTCTCCAAGGGTTAGACCACCGCTGATTGGCAGCCGCTCATCTTTTGGTTGTGCTGCCCCCATCAATCTCCGGCGCGTCGATCCCTGCCCCTGGAATCCCTCCCCTTCGGGAGGACCCATTGGTGGCCCACAAAAGTTTGCCCACAAAAGTCTAAGACAAGTGAAGAAGCGTCCTGCGTTTTTCTGTCTACATCTCAGAAAATATTAGTGGCCATTACACGTCATAATATCATGTAATATAACACATACAGTATTATATATTATATAATTATATTATATATATATATTCGTGTATACGTATACATATGTGTATGCTGTATGCATGTATAGGTATAATGACCCGGCAACCTGGCCCAAAAAAGTTCACATTCCAACCTGGGAAAAAGATGGGTTTTCCGATTTAATGGGATTTAACTAGGACAATTTGTGATTTAATGTGGTTCGGTTTTGCAGGTTTGACCATCGAAAATGGTGATTTGATACCCATTTCACTACGTAGGAAAAATAGTGATTTGGGTATTTAATGGAGATATAGTGGGATCTATAACAAACAATACATTTAAGGGTGTCTGAAAATTGTGTATATCCATGTCTCCAATTCAAGCCCTTTAAATACGGATAATGATGATGAACCAACAGAATCATTTCGAGATACCATATTTCAGACAAACCCAGCCATAGCCACCCAGATCTGATCAAGTTTGAATCGAGAAGGTGGGCTACACCATCACTGGTGGATGTCAACCATCACAGCGTATCTCCCTCATGCCACCTGGTAATTTAACCGTTCGCTGTGGAAAATGGCCATAGAAATAGTTGATTTGACCTCTAAAAATGGTGATTTTCCATAGTTGTGTTAGTTTACCAGAGGGTATCCAGCAGTTCTCTAGCACATTTTCCTTATTCATGGATGGATGGGCCATTTGTGCAGACTTCTGCGCTGGGACCGCTTAGAGCGGCAGCAAGTTGCAGTTTGGTCTCCAGCTACGGGACTTGCTTTGAAGTCTAGAGACCCAGTCAGGAGATTTTTGGTTCGTCCCATTTGAGTCACCCACTTGGGCTGGAATGTCTTGGAATCATCTCTGAAAAACATAGAGATGATGAAAATACGCCGAATGGGACATCTGCCACCTCCTCTTAAAATCAAAAGATTTTGCGGGGCCAGCTGCCATGTCATCCGGGCACCCCTTGCAGCCGGCTGCTACTGGTTGACGAGTGGTTTTCTGATCTCCGGCTGGGGCACTATCAAGTCACATACTCGTTGGAGCCAGAACCTCAAAATAGAAAATCAGTTGATTCTATAAAAGATCCACTATACCTGGAAATACGTATCATCATTCCAGCTAGGACTGTTTGAATTCCAGGTCTAAAAAACGCTTCCGAGCAAGTGCAGAATTTTGGTCACGAATTCTGGGATATTTACAATTGTCTATATGTGTATATAAAAATATTCATACCAGGAGCTTCAAAGACCCAAAAAACTGTAGGTGCAGTGAAAAAAAACTAATTTTTTCGAGAAAACTGTGTTTTGTAAGGAACCCATATTTTGGTTTTTGTTGGATTTGCTCAAATTTGTCCAAATCGGGTGGACCTGTATCGAATTTCTCCTCATTACATGTAGCAATTTCATACCGACAACCTGTGAAATCTGTCAGACAGAACGCGCGATCGAAACCGAAGCAAGTGTTATCAGACACGATGCGCGCATTCTCCACCGGCTGCAGTTACCTCCTATGCTGCGAACTTTCCCTTCAGCGGGGCTGGAGGTAGTCAAAAAGTCACTATGGATTCAAAAGTCAGCTTTTCAGATATGAACCCAGTAAATTGACAATAGCTCCGGTAATCTGCGTTGTTTTCTTTGTCTGGATCAGGCAATTCCCAGTTCGATCTTGCAAAACCACAAGCGGAGCCTTAAGACTCGACGTCGCGCCGTCAATTCCCAGAGGCAAAAAAAAATATCTTGAGTACGGGTTAGTATGGGTTAAATATGGGTTTCATACAGTTTAAATATGGGTTCCCAAAAATCGGGTTTTTCTATATTTAACAAAATATGGGTTCAGTACGGAATAAATATGGGATACGGGCAAAATATTGGTTTTTGGCATTTTTTGGGTACAGACCCTAAAATTGTCATCCGAAATGATTAAAAACTGAAGTTTTCGATTGATTTTTGGTGATTTTGTTCATTTATGTCGATACTTTTGTTCGACTGTTTGTTGGACCTTGGCAATCCAGAATTATTTTTTCCCAATGCAAAAATACAACCATGTTTCAATTTATGCTTTTAGGGGTGGTTCTTGGGAAAAAAATCATCCAACGACTCCAGATTGACTGTGATCACACTTAATGTTGTCCAACATGTTCCAAGAGCATCAGGCCCTTTCTTGTGAGAACTGCCAGCCAAAGCCAGCGAGGTGGAAGTATAATCAGCATGAAGGGTACTGACAGGGATAGAGTCAAGGCTAGTATCAATAAAGGGGGTTGAATCGTCTAAGGGAACGAATCATGAGATGTCACGACACCAAGTGTGAGAAAAAGTAGGTTTTTTCCCTAGTAAAGAAAAAAAACATATTTTCCGAGAAAAAACATGTTTTTTCATAACTGAAGAAAAAACCGGGCTTTTGGAAAAAGACCTACACATTTGTGGGTTCTTGATACGCTAGGTAGAGCATATTATATATACATGTACATAATATTCTGTCAAACATCTTCCCATGGTTGTCATGTCAACTCGCCCCAGTTCCACTCAGTCAGCTGTCAGCTTGGTGGGACTAAACTATAACACCTGCACAGCTCAAAGCCCTCAGCCATGGCAACGTTTCATCCGCGCCTCTTCCAACAAAGCCAGACAGGATCTGCTCATTTTGGGGCCAACATGAAGTTTTGACTCCAAAACCAAGGACCCAAAATTCAAAATTCAAGGACCCAAAACCCATCTTTTGTTTGGATTTGTGATGTGGTTCAACAATGTTCAACATATGTAAAACGCATCAACCCCTCAGCCATTGGTTGAATGAGCACAGGTTGCAGCTGAAACGTTGCCATTGGGTCTAAAGCCCGAGGCTCAGGCGATTAAAACTCAAGATTCGTAGCTACCGGTCTCGGTGCTGCAGGTATCGACCTCTCAAACCCCTTTTCTGCGCGATTGGTTGTGCCAAAAGATGCACAGAATGGGGTGATTGCTATGCTGAAAATATCACTTTATAAACCTCAACCATATATGTAGGGATATACAAGTAATGGGACATATACAGAGTACTGTATAGAGATATATCATGGGGAGATATCATAATGGGTGATGGGCCCCCAAGCAAATGTGGCGATCCCAGCACGGTCACCCCCCAGTTTCCTTCTGAAACGTTGAGACCAACCCATATCTTCTTGTTGGTTATTCTATTCCCCCAATATATCCCTGGTTGGTGGTTGAGCCACCCCTCTGAAAAATACTGTATTAGTCAGTTGAGATGATTATTCTCAATGGAAAAATAAAAGCCATGTTCCAAACCACCAACCAGGTCCAAATCATAGCCCCTTATCTCCCAACTGAAACCTCCACTTTAGCTGCTGGGTCTCCATCTTACCTTCACCAAGGAACAGAGAGCTCCCCCGTGAAGCCCAGGCCGCCCTTCAAGTTTCCCTTCACAAAGTGGCGAAAGCCTGGCCCAGAGATGGCTGGGCAATCCCGGAAGGAATGCAAAATATGGGGGGTTCCTAACATGGAGGTACCCCAAGTCACCATGGGTTGAAAAATCCTAAAATGATCTATATGATTCTATATGATCGAATTTTGCGGCCAACACTTGTGCTATGCCTGCAACTCTTTTGGGATGATTGTCGGGAACCTCATTTCTGCTGACCCTTACAGTACTTCGTGGCCTTCCACTATGTTAAGATGACATGACATGATGTTTGTCACGTCGCTTCGTGCGGGACGTGATTGATGACCCTCTGCAGGGTTTCGGTTATAACACAATCGCTGCTTTCAACACTTTTTTACATAAGCCCTAAAGAAAACCTACAAAGACCCTAGGAAAGATCCTAAATTTAACCCTAAATGAACCCTAAAGAAACCCTGCAAAAACTATATTATAGTGAAGTACCTGGTGGGCGTAGCGGACGTGCTGCAGGTAATTTTGGATGATGTGTGGTACCCCCATCAAAAATGTGATGGATCTTGAGCATGGAAACATCATCGACCTCCAGCCAGGGAGGTTTCTAACTACAAACATTATCGAACTGAATGTTTTTTTTGCAGCAAACCATCTTTGATTATCGGAGGGTAGTTGGGAAGTGATAGCAAACCAAGGCCTGCGAAGCATGACGAAGCATGGTTTGAGATGGTTTGAGATTCATTGGTGGTGAGTATCAGCTTCAATAATTCAACGGAATCATAGTTTTGTCATGTTTTGTCCGTGTGGATGAAAGTATACGCAATAGATGGTATGTTCAGTCCACTACGGGATATGATGTACACATGAAACAATATGTTTTCTATGGTTCTGTACCAAAAAAACATCAAAAACGGTTGGCCATGATGGTTCTATCCAATTCGTCTACAGATTTGCAGCATTTTGCAGCACCAAGGCATGTTCATCCCCTTGTCATGGCCTGACCATCCTGAAAAGCGAAAGAGGGGCACCACCTGCCGATGGCTGCCGATGGCTTCTGTCGCTTAGCCCGCTTAGCCCTGTCCCCCTTGGTTCACCAGAACGAACTCAATCCCCGAAAAATTAATAACTCATTTGAAGCCTCCCAGATTCTTGTGTGAACATCTTTGACCCGCGGTCATCATACTGTCCCTGTCATCGCCCGGGGCCTCTTCCAAGGATTTTCCCTTCGTTTCCGGCAAACATGTTGCCGCAAAAGGAATCCTCGACGATTGCGCGTGGGACCGCGCGCAGCATGGTTGATGAACCCTTTAATTAAAGAATCCAATATTTTAAGTATAAACAATATATACTTTGGGACCCCTGATCAAACCGAAAAAAACACATGCTTGGGGATAGCCACTCAGAACAGCATCCTAGAATTACACGAAAATTTCAGCCCAAAAGTCCATCATCAACGTCCAAGCATTTATCCAATGTCTACCGGTTCAGCGCCATTTTCCCCTTTTAAATGCTCCACTTTATGGAACCAGGATTCCCCCATTTCGACCCATCCTATATATGCTATAAAAATCACTATAGTGCCACTATGTAACAACATCACTTGAATCCGAAGATCATAGAACCCAAATAATAAAACAGAATTACCCCCAGCCACAACTCAACAATTAAATCTTTCTTTCTTCTTTTTTTCCCCAGCCATTCCAACAACATCAGACCGTCCATCTTAGCACCAGGCATCACTATGAGGCACACGCATCCGAAGAACAGCAGGGTCCCTCCCGGTCCCATGGGTGATGAGATCATCTGAGGTGTCATGAAGGCGCTCAGGACATTCGCTGGACCCCAGTTCACCTAAGGTGAGCCGAAAAGGGAACAACGTTTCACCGGGGCAAGAGATATCAAACGAACATACGTATGACTATATACATAATATTATAGATATATAATATGATATATAATATGATATATAAAATGATATATAATATGATATATAAAATGATATATGATATGATATATATATATAGACACCTGAAGTTTCTCCAAACTCATGGATTTAGCCATGTGTCATTTGATGTCATGTGTCCAAATATGAGTGATCCATTCCATAGTCGAACCATGACCAACCCCTCACCATGTGATCGTCCAAGTGAGCCATGAACAAAAAACCCTGATTGGTTAAGAACTAGGGACTTGTACAACCAACAGGTTTTTAACATGAGATGGGATGGGGGTATTTTTTAATTGCTCAAGTGACTTTAATCCTGGAAATGCCGGCTTCTGGTTTCTTTGCTGTACTCAGGCGTGTATCAACCGATTACCGTCTTTTCCCAGCTCATGACCCATCAGGTTAGTTGTAGTGGTAAATGACTGTGTTTATCTTTGGGGGGTGTAATATCTTAATCAGTATGTATTTTGGTATTTCCATATCTGCCTTGCACATCATTTTCTATGGCAAACTGTTATTACCGGAGGGTATAATCCATTTAAGCCTCCAATTATCTCCACCATTTTCCGTGGTTACCATTTCCATATGGTCTTTATAGATGATTTTACCATATCAAAACCTCCAATTATTTACAGTAGTTCGGGAATTTCCGATGAAAAAAATTGAGATCTACCCACCTCCACCGGTCCCCTATCTCCCTCATTGAATCGAATTTCTTGTTGCCATAAAATCCCATGAAATCACCATTTTGCCTGGTAAAATCCTGACCTGTAAATCCCATGAAATCATCAATTTGCCTATTGAAATCGCCTTGTAAATCCTGTGAAACGACCATTTTTGAAGGTTAAACCCATCCTCTGTCCTCTCCGCATCCTGTTTTCCGGGACCCCGGGCCGCGGTGCAGAGTCCCACCGCTTTGCCGCGCACGCGCAGCGGCATGATCTCGGAGATGTAGAGCCAGGCGCCGAAGCCCCAGGAGATTCCAAAGGCGAACCTGGACTGGGTTTGAATGGGATTTGAATTGGATTTATGGGGATTTTAATGGGATTTATAGGGATTTTACAGGGATTTTGATCGGATTTATAAGATTTATAGGGATTTTGATTGGATTTATAAGATTTTATATGGGATTTTAATGGTGTTTATAGGGATTTTACAGGGATTTTGATCGGATTTATAAGATTAATAGGGATTTTGATTGGATTTATAAGATTTTATATGGGATTTTAATGGTGTTTATAGGGATTTTACAGGGATTTTGATCGGATTTATAAGATTTATAGGGATTTTGATTGGATTTATAAGATTTTATATGGGATTTTCATGGTGTTTATAGGGATTTCATGGAGATTTATACTAGGAAAATTGGTGGTCCCCCATTGCTGATTATATAACTATGGGGAAATATGTTGACCATCATCTATTGGGGATATCATGGGATATAATGAGACAGAATTCGAAGTTGCTGGTTGAAACAATTAAGATTATACATATATTATATAAGTATATATACATACGAGTATTTGATACTAATCTACAGAATGGACTGCAACTAAAATACAGTCTGTCTGTCCATGCCAATTTTGATGGGTCTGACTGAATTGTCATGTTTCACCAGCTTGAACTACGGCTTAATAGAATGCTTTTCCGATATTCCCGACGCTAAAACGGTCTTTTTTTTCAGCCAGATAGTTGGATAAAAATATTGCTGGATGAATTTGGGATATATAACTCGGAACTGGCAATTTACGATGGTAGGTTGATGATCGGTTGATGATCAGAGAAAATGATCAACAGGTGAATTTTTGCCCCATTTGGGAACACGGATAAACGGTGGATTAGAAAACCGATCATAATATCTGACTAGCGAGTAATGTCGTAATGGCCCATAAACCAAAAATTACCTCCCGCTTTGGAAATTTAAAGAAATCCAAACCATGTATGACAAATTTAAGTGATGGTGATGGTGTTTATATGGTGTTTATGGTTTTGGAAAACCACATTAGTTCCAGTTTAGATGGCCATTTTTTTAGGCCTTGAGAAGTTCTCCAAAAGACCCGGTTTGGATATCAGATGGACTTCCGGTTTGGGCATGATTCCAATGATTCAGTGAGGGCCCAGGATCTTAAGCAAGTCAAGGATAGAAAATGATCCAAATGAAGGGCTACCCTCTGGTAAACGTTTACATAACTATGGAAAATCACCATTTTTAATGGGAAAACTCACTATAAATGACCAAAATCAATAGCTATGTTAAATTACCAGAGGGTACGTTACTGTTGCACCAATATTCCCATGGAAATCATGGAAACACTCACAGTTGTGGTCAGTTTGCCACATGATGGCAGTTTTTGATAAACGCATGCCAAAAGACGCCGGTATTTTGAAACAAATTGTCCAAATCAAAAACAAACACCTGCTTGAGGATTTTTCCCAGGACATAAACCAGCATTTGTGGTGAATGACGCAAGGGCTAAGGGCTCAGTAGCTGTACTCAGATAACATACAGTATATGATAAAATCCCATGGACCAATATTTGTTTCAAGAAAAATAGAAGGGTCGCTTTGGTATATGGTTTATCACCATCTACCCTTTAATCAACCAAACAGTGGGAAAAGGAAATGTTTGTCCTGGTCCCCTCATGACATGCAACATGTAAGTCACGATCATGGCGACAATGACCACCCCGGCCGCCGACTGAATCTCCCCCGTGGTGGGGTCATGGGCCAGCAAAGCGATAGCTCCACCTAACGCAGCCAAAACGATGTGGTGGAAACTCACCGGAGTAATAAGGTGCCAAGGAAGAAAATAGGAATTTAAGTGGGGAAAATGGAATTAGCCTCTGGTTATGACTAACATAGCCGTGGAAAGATCCACCATGCTATTAATAGGTAAACCATCTATTTCAATGGGCCATTTTCCATGGCTATGTTAAATAACCAGATGGTAAATGATTGAACAAGGAAATATGGTAAGATTTGGTTGTGCTCAAACATAGATTGTGCCCTAATTGATGGTCAGAAAACACCATGAAATATATAAGTTTATCAAATCATTGGATATTAGGGGCGCAACATGTTTTGGACAAATCCATCACTTTGCTTGAACCGTTTTGAGCCTGTTTTGAAATTTGCATAGTTTGGTCTTTTCATGCTTTTTTAATGACAAAAAATCTACAGGTTTCATTGAAGATTTCACAGGTGACGTGATAGCACGGTTCAGTGTGCGGCACCCATCACTTTCAATGGATCCTCCAAACCTGTGTTCCCCACATCTTTGTGTGGGTGCTTGTTTTTGGTTATGCATTCCCGTCCGGTCCTCCTCCTCCTCCTCCTCTTCTTGCCCCGCCCTCTCCCTCACACACAACTCACACACACAACAACTTACTCATACACAACTCCCTTACACACAACTCCCTCACACACACAACAATAAATCCTTCTGGGTCATCAAGTTGCACGTTTTTTCTGCTAATAGCATGTTTTGGTCAGATTACACTCATTCTGACTTTTATGCTTCTCTTTTCGTTTCCTGGGTAGTTGCTCTTGTTTGGTGGGGAAATACGTTCAGAAATGTTCAGAATGCCTGCTTCAAAGCGCGCAGAATGGAAACATGAAAACAATGGTGCAATTAAAAGTAAGCTCTTTTGGAGAAAATGCAATCAAAAGGCAGAAGCGTGTTTCATTGGCATGTGTTTGTTTTTGTTGGGGATGCAGATAATTATCAACAACACATGTTGCGATCTTCTCCTGCTTTCCACTGTCGAATGTCTTCCTTTTGCAAATCCGTGCAAGCAGGTGGCTCGCATCTCAACCCATCCCGTCATATTTTCACAGGAAAGAAAACTCGATATCCTCTGACTTGTTTTTTTTTCTAGGGCCCTTCTGCAAACCAACGTCGATTTGGAAAACCCGAAAACCCACCATTTTGTTCATCTTCCGAACAGGAAACCATGTGTGTTTTCTCTATGTTTGCTTAGGGTACCAATTTCTTACGGACTCCATCCAGTGCCATCCAAAGTTGTCCCTCCAAGGTACCTACTAACATGGTGATGCACATGGTAATCATCCCATACAGGAGCAGCACTCTTCGACCCGCGCGGTCCACCAAGAAGAAACTGCCCACGCCATTTCCTGGGGATGGGGATGGGATGCTCAAGCGGCTCCTTTTTTGGGGAATCTCCGTTTCAGCGACAGTGGAATCTTTTGAATCAGAATCCAAAAAATGGCTATGAAAATAGGCCACCCCATGGTACACCCAAAGTTGATCATGCTCATCCTCAGAAATGGTCAGGCTGTTGGGCCCCATGGGCCCCGTTTTCAAACAACCCTGGGTCGCGCTAGGTCAAGCTTCCCACGGTAAAGGCGATGAAAGGGACCAAGGAAGGTCCGATGCCAGAAATCCCCAGCGCCTGCCAGGCAAAAGATGGGTCAACACCCTTTTTATATCCCCCGATCACATCATAAAGATCAAAATGGCTGGTTTTTTTTGATTTATGAATAACTATTCATCCCCAGAAAAAAAAACTGGGTACTTATCATCGGTCCATAGCTGTATGAGCCATATTGACATATCGATTCAACCATCAACCAATAAAGATATATAGAAAGGATAATATGAGGATACCGGCAAAACATACGGAAGGCGGAAAAAATGCCTGGATCGATTTCAATTATAACTGATAACTACTTCAAATCATCCAGCTTCCCGGGTTCAAATGCTTGGATGTTTAGGTCTTGCTGGTAGAAAGAGATGTGCCAAGAAAGCCAAAGGATCTTTCATGATCTTTCCAACCGTCCAGGGTACAACCTTTCCGGCGACATTGGAGCTATCACTGGCTTCACCAGTTTACCACATTACCATCTGGTTATTTAACATAGCCATGGAAAATCACCATTTTTAATAGGTAAACCATCTATAAATGGGCCATTTTCCATGGCTATGTTAAATAACCAGATGGTAATTACAATTAATTACAAGTCTTCAACCTTGGGAAGCCTTGATAGAACCATGCTCAAAGCCCGCAGTCCTTGAAGAGGGTGCCACTAAAACTCACCACCGCATTGATGCCCGTGGTGATTTGGAAGAACTGTACCAAGCAACCGATCAGGACCACGTTTCCTCAGGACTCTGCGGCAGTTGCTCAGATCCAATCAGGGTAAAGATATGTAAAATGTAAAGATTGGTTTGTCTGAAAATAGTGTACCCCTAAACCCAATGGTTAATGATCATTATCCCTATTAAATGGCTATTTCATTGGGAATATACCCTATTTTCAGACAAACCCAGATGGTTTTAACGAGGCATGATCAGATTCGAGAGACTTGACTTTGAGAGGTTGAGGCCAATACAGTATTATGACTTGCTGCTGTTTGCGGGAAAGCTTGTTTGGTTCCGATTCTGTTGGTGACCCACCCGGGTGGGTTCTTTTCTAATTTTGTTGTGGGAACGGGTCAAGAAGTTTATACCCAAAGCTTGCATAGGATGCGACGATCCTATCGCCTCCATATTCATATTCAATACCCCACCTAGACATATCAGTTTTCCCGTTATATTCCAAGTTTTGATGGGTATATATCCTCATGATATCCCCATGAAACCACCATGTTTGTTGGTTAAGTGCCATAAAAAAGACACCCATGTTTCTTGGTGAATCCCCATTAAATCCCATTGGAACATGGTTTTTTCTAGCTAAATCCCATTAAATCGAACTGGTCATATGGTCATATCCCATAAAATCCCCAATGTTTCTTGGTAGATCCCCATTGCAAGCCGCAACTACCACGGCTACAGCTTCGCTCAAGGTACGAAAGAATGGTGTGGTAAAGATTTCACTCCATGCCGCTTCGCCCGTCTGCTGCTCTTCTGCCAGTTCGTCCTGTCGAGCTGGAAATTGCCATGAAATTGCTATGGGAAAAACATGGAAAAAAATGACAGAACATGGATGACTGTGGATCAAAAAAAGAGATTCCCTTAGGAATTCTTCTCCAAGTTTTCTTTCGCAAGGAAAAATCTGGGAAAAACCATGGAACATACATCTATATCATATATTGCTCATGGCAAAATGATGTAGAAATGCGTTTTTAGAGACTTCAGTGATCCATGCGGGATCTTCTGCTGCCAGGTCAGATATAAAACAGCCAGCCCAGCAGCCAAATCCCTGATGTTTCAGGGCATTAAAAGCCAACTTCAGTTTCTGTGTGATCTGGTTTTGTTCAGCAGACTCAATTTTGACATTAAGATTTGTTTGAATGCAGCCCACATCCGCCTGCACTTCTGTCAGCTCTTGTTTGGCTGCATCTCTGTTCCCTGAACGCGACAGGACTCACCACAGGTGGGCGGTCTCAAGAAGCCTTTGGAAACTAACAAGACTTGGGGAATGAACAAGAACAATCCTGTCTAATGTCTAAATCAATTGAGGATCCGCCAAGGGATTTGTAACCATGAAGGAGTATGAAGCTTTCAAATGATCTTGGCCGTTGAAATCCTCGTCCTTTGTGCTTGATATGTGTGTCACGTGGTTCAGACTCCACTCTTTAAATTGGAGATTATTCCCCTTGGCAGGCAAACCCACTGGCTTTGGGGCCTGTGCAAGCGCGAGTTCTCACGAGACATACCATACCACTTCCAAAATCAACCGCCCGAAACGGAAGACTCGAGTGATTTCCAGTGGTTTGAATCTCATATCTTTCAAACAACTCAAAAATCTGCTTAACAAAAATCACCTCTCAACATCCACTGGTGAATCATCATGTTCCCTGTTTAACACTACATTTAACAATATATAGTAATCCCCACAAAGATTGAACAGTGAAATTCTACTAAACTAGTGATCGTTTACTTTTCTATATATTTTTGGTAGTCAATTACTATATATATATCATAACATATACATATGATGTATATATACGAAATACATCTAAAATCATCTAAATACATAATTATATATGTACATAATACAGATACATATACCTATAATGTGTATATATATATATATATATGTTTTTTTGACTTTCCATAGGAATCCATGGGTAAATCCCCGCCTGCGCGCAAGCGCGTGAGCACCTCCAAAGCCTCGCTGGAGCGTCCCTTGGATTCCAAGAAGCGTGGTGTCTCGCAGACGAAGATCAAACCCACGAAGACCAGGCAGCCCAAAGCCACCTGCAGGCCTTACAACACAGGGGAGAAAATGGTTGGGGATCATGGCAGGATATAGTTCTTATTATTTCCGTATATGATTATATATGATTATATATGATTATATGATTATATATGATTATATATGATTATATATGATTATATTATTATATATGATTGTATATGATTATATATGATATCATATATGATATTATATATGATATTATATATGATTATGTACGATATTATATATGATTATATATTATATTATATATGATATTATATATGATATTATATATGATATTATATATGACTATGTATGATATTATGTATGATTATATATGATTATATATGATTATATATGATTATATATGATTATATATGATTATATATATATATGATTATATATGATTATATATGATTATATATGATTATATATATGATTATATATGATTATATATTATATATAATTATGTATATATAATTATATATATAATTATATATATAATTATATATATAATTATATATATAATTATATATATAATTATATATAATTATATTACTGTGCGTGATATAGTTGTATCATTATAGTATTATGTATATATATAATATATATATAGAACAGCAATGGGGGCGAAATCTAATGATCACGATGGCAGGCTATGGCCCAATATGCATGATATAGTTAGAATCTATCATATATCTACTTCTATGTGTATATATATATAGATAGTTAAATCATGTTAAATCAATATATATATAATAAAATAACACGCGTGATAGTTACATGATACATATGGCTGGAAGGTTGAGACCTTCCAAAGCCCCCATTGCCATGGTTTGTCGGTGCATGGCTTGAACCCAAGGAACCCAGGGAAATGCGCCATCCAAACGCAAGGTCGTGTACGAAGTAGTTCAACAGGGCGGCAAAAACGATGGCTAAGCACCTACGAATGGCAACCGATTTCGCAACCGATTTCGCAACCGATTTCGCAACATTCGCGTTCTTGTCCCGAAATTTGCTTTGGGATACCCTCCGGTGTCATCAAACATGGCTAGCAATTGGAAATCCCTTACAAACGGAAGTTTGAATGGGAAAATCATCGAACTAAATGGGGCATGTTCCATTGCCATGCTTGATTTCCGGAGGGTATCATCAACAACACGCTGTGTCTAACGGCTAATATGAAGAGATGCGGATAGTGGGAACGGCGACCAAGCAACCGAGGAACCGTTTGGAAACTGCAGATTTGGCAGCCAATGTCACCACAAGATACGTTTGCACAGCGTTTTTCACATCGTGTCTGCCCCTAGAAATTAGAACCACACAAGTAGAGTTCACCTAGAAAGTGCTAGGCAAAAAACCCACCAACTCGCCGAAACTGCCCACTTTCCCAGGATCTGGTGGCAAGTTACACATTGTTCTGGTAGACTCCCACCAGCATTCCACGAATCTGTGAAGGAGATACTTCCTTGGTGGCCACTGAATGAGGAGTTCAGGTGTAGTGCAAAAAAAATAAAGTATCTAATTGGTGGTATACCTACCCCCCTGAAAAATATGAAAGTCAGATTGGATCATCATCCCAACTATCGGGGAAAATAAAATTCATGTTCCAAACCACCAACCAGTAAATCATCCAATTTAGATTGGGATTTTCCATTCTAAATTTATAAACCATCAATTTTGGGGTATCCCCATTTATAGAAACCCTATGAAATATTCACGTCTGCCTGCCACAAGGTTCAAGCCATAGATTCGCAACCGATTCAGTGTGAGATTTCCTTTCCACTCCAACACAGATTTTCATCAAAAATGCCTTTCATCAACCGGAACACCGTTTAAATATGTGATGGAGTTTGAGCAAATTTTCCTACATTGTTCCCTTTAAATCGTTTCAGTGCAGGCGTCAACTTTGTTGCTCCAATCCCCATGTTTACCCATGTTTCCCATCAGTATCCCGTACCTTTAACATATATTTCTCTTAAATCTATCGACATGGCAATGGATCAAAAAAAATAATGACTCACCAAAATTGAATGATTTGAGATTTGAAATAGATATCATCCCCAAAATAGCACGAATTATGGATCTTCCGCGAAAAAACGTCGTATGGATACCCTTACATAATTTAGCATAGCTATGGAAAATCACTGTTTTTACCCATGGGCCCAATCGCTTCCATAGCTATCTTGAATTACCAGGGGGTAGCTATGGATCCAACAGTGCCAACAGCCATAGCCACGGGGATTTGCCAGCTACGGAGCTGATGACACCCGAAGGTATCCCGTCCTCATAATTCATCAATACTTACCCTCTGGTGAACTAACATAGCAATGGAAAATGGCCATTTATAGTGGATTTTCCCATTAAAAATGGTGATTTTCCATTGCTATGTTAGTTCACCAGAGGGTATCCATAGTAACTATGATGTTCTCATAATCAAAGCCTGAAAATGTTACGTATAAATTAATTAAGTCACATATCTAAAACATAACTATCAAATACTATCCCTCTATCACTCGTGATATCTAAGTAGCACATCGACTCATCCCATCTCCATCTCCATCCCCTCCACCAGACGTCCAGTGTCTGAGATAAAGGCCGGTCCTGCTGCCGAGGTGATACCCACGCCCACGCCAGCGATCAGACGACCGAAGATCAGCATCCTTAGCGAAACCACCGAGGTTTTCGCACATCTGCGGCAGAAAAAAAAACGGTGGCAAATGTTGTATAATGGGATATTTATAAAACATGAATAATGAATTTTCATGGGGATTAAACATGAAATCTTTATGTGATATATAAAATATAGCATTGTATGTATACAATATAAATATTAAATAATACTATATAATTCTATATATCATCGATAAACCTATAGTTGGTTTACCCTCTGATCATTTCACAGCTTGGAACATATTGCCATTTTTAAGAGGTCATCGAACTAAATGGGCCGTGGTTTCCATAGCTACTGTATGTTAAAGTACCTGAGGCGCACCATCAAAAAATGATGTTTAAAACCATCAAACATTTGGAATTTGTGGGTAACGCAAAAAAAGTATGTACTGTTGTACTTGGACAGGAAAGAACCACATGATATAACCCAGTTGAAGTTTTGGATTGCATCCCCAGTTATTAAAAAGTAAGTCTCATCCTAAATTTCAGGATTTCAAGCAGCAACTTACATTGAAAAAAATAACAAAGAAATAAGTTGATTTATAAGCACAGGATTTCAACAAGCAAAAAAAACAGTTCAACTGACCAAAACTGGATGTCAATCCAAACTACAGTAAGTCAAAAGTGGTACTTGAACTAAGCAACAAGGGATTCCACCCACTAAGAATGGAAAAAAATGTGATTGCAACTAGTCCAAATAAGAGTTGTACCAGCAAAAAATGCAAGTTGGAGCAACAAAATGTTGGGGATACTACAGGATCTTAGGCACAGAAAGTGAGGCAATGCCATAGATATCGCTGACAAAGATCTGAGGATATCTAACCAAAAAAGATTGCAGTTTTGAACCATCTAACAAATGGACTTCGACCAACAAGACTGGGAGTTCATGAATACATAAAAATAAAGAGATGAACATACAAGCAAGGGCAAAACACAGGAACCAACAGCAGTGGCATATCCAATGGGTGGGTCAAAATTGAGCCTTGATCCATTGATCCTCGCTGCAAATTGCTGCCGATCCAAATTCAGTTCAGTACCCTCTGGTAATGACTAACATAGCTATGGAAAATCACTATCTTTTTATGGGAAAATCCACTATTTCTATGGCCATTTTCAATAGCTATGTTAGTTTACCAGAGGGTACCAATCAAGTTTTTTTGGGGTATCTAATGCAGTAGACCCAATAATGATTGGTTCCATAAATGGTGGTATATCCGATGATGGGTATCCATCCAATAATGATTGGGTATGTTTTACCCTCTGGTAATGACTAACATAGCTATGGAAAATCACCATTTTTAATGGGAAAATCCACTATTTCTATGGCCATTTTCAATAGCTATGTTAGTTTACCAGAGGGTACCAATCAAGTTTTTTTGGGGTATCTAATGCAGTAGACCCAATAATGATTGGTTCCATAAATGGTGGTATATCCGATGATGGGTATCCATCCAATAATGATTGGGTATGTTTTACCCTCTGGTAATGACTAACATAGCTATGGAAAATCACCATTTTTAATGGGAAAATCCACTATTTCTATGGCCATTTTCAATAGCTATGTTAGTTTACCAGAGGGTACCAATCAAGTTTTTTTGGGGTATCTAATGCAGTAGACCCAATAATGATTGGTTCCATAAATGGTGGTATATCCGATGATGGGTATCCATCCAATAATGATTGGGTATGTTTTACCCTCTGGTAATGACTAACATAGCTATGGAAAATCACCATTTTTAATGGGAAAATCCACTATTTCTATGGCCATTTTCAATAGCTATGTTAGTTTACCAGAGGGTACCAATCAAGTTTTTTTGGGGTATCTAATGCAGTAGACCCAATAATGATTGGTTCCATAAATGGTGGTATATCCGATGATGGGTATCCATCCAATAATGATTGGGTATGTTTTACCCTCTGGTAATGACTAACATAGCTATGGAAAATCACCATTTTTAATCGGAAAATCCACTATTTCTATGGCCATTTTCAATAGCTATGTTAGTTTACCAGAGGGTACCAATCAAGTTTTTTTGGGGTATCTAATGCAGTAGACCCAATAATGATTGGTTCCATAAATGGTGGTATATCCGATGATGGGTATCCATCCAATAATGATTGGGTATGTTTTACCCTCTGGTAATGACTAACATAGCTATGGAAAATCACTATTTTTTATGGGAAAATCCACTATTTCTATGGCCATGTTCAATAGTTATGTTAAATTACCAGAGGGTATATCAAACAATGAGCCATCCATATATTTCCATAAATCAAATATCCATGACCCACATGGTCGGCTCATGGCATTGGGTTTACCATCTGCGGAGCTTCTGCTCCTTTTTTGCACCTAAGCCGAGTAGGCCTTGAGCCTAGTCTTGTTGTAATGTTGTTAGTATCCCTTATGAAAATCCTATCTGCCACAGAATATCCATCACTAATGCAATGTATCCCTTATCCCACTATATGATACCTCCCATTGTATCCCCATTAGTTAAATCATGTTAAATCACTACTCCCCTATGTTCTAGGATTGTATGGCATATAGAACCAGTATCATATTACCCTCTGGTAAATTAACATAGACCCTGGCAGTTGTTTCAGATTAGTTTCCATTAAAACTAGGCTAGAATTTCAGGGTCAACAAGTTAATTTACCAGAGGGTATATTCCCCAGATTTCCCGCAGGTAAAATCAGGAAAAAAAAGTCACCGCCAGGTCTCAGTTGATTCATGGCCGACGCCTGCAAGCCTCCGCCGCACGCGAAGAGCATGGTGCCCAGCTTCAGCGCGGGGCGCCGGCCATGGCGGTCCACTAAGAGGTGCCCGGCCAGGACAGCGGCCACCGCGGCACCCAGGTTGAAACCTGCATTTTTTGCGCTGGATTTCATGAAGAAAACGCTGGATGTTACATGATTTTACTAGGAAAAACTGATAAAAATGATGGATGTGAACTAAGAAAACTGTGTATCAAGATGATCTAATGACTCAAAAATCGGAGAGTTTGTGCAGAAAGCTGGCGAATGAAGCATGGAAAACTGGACAGTCGACCAACAATAACTAGGGATTTCAGCGATAGGAAACCAGGACAAAATTATATAGTCAGGATAAACTTAGAATTAGCCGACAGGAATCGGGATCCAAATAAACTGGTATTATAAACAGGTATTGACTCAGCAGTTGTTTGTTTCCCCAAAAAAAACATGTGCGATTAAACCGACTATAAATCACCAATGAAAACTGCGTGTGAGCCACACATCTTCGCAACCAAAGATCCGGCTGGGATGATAAGGTAAGTTGCGTAATGCCCAACTGGATGTATGAGAAGCCATCCGTGATGTGTTATCCACATTTATCCACATTTATCAACTAGCAACAGTTCAATAACTTTGTAAAAATCGAATGGCAAGTTGGAACGACCTGAGATACTCCCAACTCTCTCCACGTTCCGCATCCTAACTTCAGGGATCACTTGAAACAGAGCTGTTAGTGAGAGATTCACGCTTAAATCATACGTACATATAGCAATAGATGGCAGATTCATCCACGATAACCAAACATTGTGAGTTCTTCTGGCTGGTTTCGCCACTGCTTGGACGGTGCACTGAGTCTTCTTCCATATTCGGCAACCCGACCGCACTTGTGTGTTCAACAAGCGATCCTTTAGAACAACCAAGCAACTAAGCACCGAAACACCAACACCTCTCATGATGGCTAATCTTAGGTGCCCAGCAACAAAACATAGCTAGCAGCTAGGTGTTCTATTTGCAGTTTCAGTTAAAAGTTCACTTCTCCGGCTAGGGTGCAATGCTTCACCAATCTGAAAAGTTTGGGCCCTTTGAGATAGTTGCCCCTACATTCACCATCACTAGTGACATCGGCCAGTGAGATTATCAGCCAGAATTAGAAGAAACTCGCAGCCATACCCTGGAGATGGTTCAAATATTTATTTTGTCATTTTTTTGTCGTTTTTTTTGGTCATTTTGTTTGTCATTTCAGTTTTGTCTGTAATTTTTTTTGTCAATTTTTTGTCGTTTTTTTTGTCATTTCAGTTTTGTCTGTCATTTTTTTTGTTATTTTTTTGTCGTTGTTTTGTCATTTCAGTTTTGTCTGTCATTTTTTTTGTCGTTGTTTTTGTCATTTCAGTTTTGTCTGTCATTTTTCTGTCATTTTTCGAAGAATTTTTCGATCTTTCTCACTATTTTTAAGAAAATTGCACCAACACGACAAAAAATGACAAATTTTCCACAAACTGACAAAAAAATGACAAAAAAACGACAAAAAACTTTCACTTTTGCAGGTGGCAAAAATTGCATTTTTCTCGAAAAAAAAATGACAAAAAATTGACAAAAAAATGACAGACAAAACTGAAATGACAAAAAAAAACGACAAAAATTTGACAAAAAAATGACAGACAAAACTGAAATGACAAGCAAAATGACAAAAAAATGACAAAAAAAATGACAGACAAAACTGAAATGACAAAAAAAATGACAAAAAAAACGACAAAAAATGACAAAATAAATATTTTGATTTTTTCAACCTTTGCCTGCCTAAGTTTCTTCTAAAGCCAGAACCCATATTGATACTCGAACCCATCAAGTTAGCTGGTTAAATGCCATCTAACTTTAGCTTTACCTAGCCCAGTTTTCGAAGCGCCAGGGAGCCATTCACCGTGAAGCCTTCCCAAAAGGCGACTTCGGCATTGTCTTCCTGGCTGGGGGGCAGTTCCTCGAAGAGACACCATGGAGCCGACCAATAACCCCCAAACGTTGGGACATAACTGACCAATAACCCCAAAAAAGAAGACATCCATAGCAACGGTTTTATATTCATTTGAAAATTCTTGTTATGGTAATGATGTTATCCTGCATCATTTATATACATCCTATAACAAAGATGCTCTAAATCAAAGAATATGTTTTTTTTTGGTGGGAAGCTATCGACTCACATGCACTCCCTGACTCTCACCTCTGGCCATCCCATCATGTTGCGGAAGCTGGGCATTGTAAAGACATCGTTCACCACGGCGTTGTCATAGCCGTGGAAAAATCCCGTGCCTGGTTGGAATCATAATCTGAGCGGCTTGTTTTCGGCAATGGCGAGAGCAACACCATCCCAAAATTCACCAGAAATGGCTGGTAGAATGTGGTATGAACCCTCCAAAACTGGTGTTTTTTTGGTAGGGTTTACCACATGAATGATTTCAATCATCCCTTAAATATCCTAAAATATGGAACATGTTCTAGAGCAACCTCAACAGGATTAGCAGTTCTCTCAAAGCTAACTGCGACCCCTTTTTTTCCCCCAATGACTCCAATGACCAGGTGCTCGCAACGAAGGCAGCAATGCACGCAGCATAAGCATTGGCACACACTGTTGCAGTATTGCTGTTGTGCTTCTCCTCACACTTGATGTGTGTAGGGCTGACTTCCATGGCTGACACTTTCGCCGCAGCGTCAAGCTTGGGCCAGCAACTGATCAGAACAGGGATGATCATCGACCATAAACCTATTGATACAGGGTATGACCATTCACTTCCATATGATTTCCATATGATTCCATATATGGGTTAGTCCAAAAGTAGGGAATACACCACAAAAATGGCTATGTTCATTGGCAAAATTGTGTGGCAAATCATGACAAGCTTTGGTTTCATTTATGTTTCATTTTGGTGTACCAGAAAATACCAACCATTATACCTCATCTCTGGATGTACACCCGAGTCTTGATCAGCATTACTCAGTTACTCCCCCATTTTTTCCTTCAGCATTGGCTTCTGCCTGCTGTCTCTCCTGAGCGGACGAATGGAAGAGCATTGCATACCGTTGCGTGCTGAAAATCACGAAGTGTACCCTCTGGTAATGACTAACATAGCTATTGAAAATCACCATTTTTAATGGGAAAACTCACTATAAATGGCCATGTTCAATAGCTATGTTTGTTTACCGGAGGGTAGAGACTTGTCATCTAATGAGGAGTCTCCAACAATGTTTGATCACCAAAAGGATAGCCTCCCCGGAAAGTGTGGGCAAGCAGTGGTGTCGGTTCTCCTCAATCTTGGAAGAACTGACTGCAAAAGTAGATTGCACTGAGCAGAATTAGTTCAAAATTGCTATGCCCTCAGTAAATTGACATAGAAATCGATAAGGAAAATCCTATTTTAGGTCATGTTATCATACTTTGGGAACCCTGTGGAATTTCCATATGGAATCTATGCCAGTTAGTTGCACTCGAGTCTGACCAACTGGCTGAAGCCCAAGCCTCCAGCAAGCGCAGCGCTTTCGCAATGGCGTCTTTGACCTGCGAAAGCTCCTGGCATGTGGGGCAAATTAGATAGGACAGTTGGTTGAACTAAGTTAATCTTGGTTGATTGTAGTTCAGGGGTTAAACCCACTTACAAACTACTCGGCAAACCACTTGTAGCGAAAAAACATATGGCAAGAGAGGTTTATGATGGTTTATGGTACTTACTATGACTTATAACATCTTATAACCATATCTAGTTAGATGGGGTTCTTCAGTTCTTCTGCAGGTGCACGAATCTTGCATTCTTCAGCTGAAGGTAATCTCTGATGTCAGTATGTCTAAAGTTACCCTCTGGTAAACTAACATAACTATGGAAAATCACCATGTTTAATGGGAAAACTCATTATAAATGGCTATTTTCAATAGCTATGTTAGTTTACCAGAGGGTAGGGCTTCCCAAGTTTCCCACTCTGAAATAGAACATCAGCTGCCCGATACGATTGAGGGGTCCCACGATGGGGACATTTTGACATCCCGATTACAGGTAGTCCTCAGTTCTTTGGTGATATCCCCTTAGATATCCCCTTTTATATATTATATATTATATATTATAATATATATATATTATATATATAGACATACATGATACATAATACATGTGTGTGTGTGTCTCAAACTGAAGGATACAAAGAAAGATGAGAAAACATTGAACCATGGGATTCTGGACCCAAAAAAATCCCCAAACAAACCTGGGCTACCCCCGTGTTGACTGGTGCCCATTTCGGTTGATTCCTATCCCCATGTGTCTTCGTTTCAAATACGAAACTCCCTAAAACATCCTGTCCAAACATGTTCACTTACTTAAGTGTCCCTCAAAAATCCCCAGATCTAAAAAATCCCCATATCTTCCATGTGTCTGTCGAAATCCCCTAGAAACGCGCCCTTTTTCATGTCCTTCTGCGGCAACGCTTCAGCATCAGCTGGGCGGTAGCTGTCGGTGACGTCCTCGATGAAGACACCAGACTCGTTGGCCTGATGAAATTCGCTGAGACAGTCTCTGGCATGGGGTTGAGCACCTATTAAAATATGATAAAATATGATGGATTGAATGGCAAAATATTGGCAAAATCATAGGGTTTATAGTGGATTATAGGGTTTATAGATGTTTATAGTGGATTATTAGGGTTTATAATGGGTTACAATGGGAACATATGGAAAAAACCATCTACAAAATGGGGATGTAGTGGGGATATAATGTAACAGACTTGATATTTGGGTTTGTCTGGAAATTGGATACTCCCCAAGAATTGCTCTCCATATAGTAGGAAATATATCAAATTGAGATCTTACCAAAGGATGGAATGAGGTACCCTATTTTTAACAAACGTCTGGTAACCAATGGCCTGAAATGGCAGACCCAGAATGTTCAAGAGGGTCATCCTCATTTTCTGGACACCGATGTTGCAGTAAACCCGATTTTGGGTAAAAACAAAAAAATCGGGGTAAAACGGTAAGTTTATGTTCCTAAAAAGCTTCCAGTTTATCCTTATTGCGGTAATCCAATTTTCAAACCAGACTTATTGCTATCTTTCACCCATATTGTGATGATCCTCCAGCCAAGCTGCAGGGGATCATCGAATCACAAGTTGCGATATTTTTTTGGGTTGCCCATATAGATCCATCATGATCCATATATAACCAGACACTAGTCTATTACGTCTATTACCGGGAATCTTCAGTCACTAACCCTCATATCCTTCTCAAAAAAGGTATGGAATGGTAATGATCCATACCTATATGGATCGGTCTGGGAGTCTGGATCACCTATGATTGGAGCCGCAGCCATATCTCCAGATTGTTTTGTGCAATGTAAGTTAGTTGTTGTGTTCTTGTCACGTGAACTATATATATAATATATATAATATAACTAATATAACTATAACATACTATAACCATGTTCATTCTCCTTGTGTCGGAAGTATTCAATTGTCCATCAATTTCAAACCTGCTCCTATTCAGAGCTTCAGGAATTCGGAATATCTTTCTGCTCTGTTTCAACCCACAGATCGAATTCATCATGCCACAGATCGAATTCGAAGTGATTTCTTTGTGAAACCGCCCATAGTACTCCAAGGCTCCTGGTAAGTCAAGACGTGTGAAGGACATCGTCCCCATCCAGTGGCATAAAGAAGTGGTTCCTCAGCTTTCGATTCCCCCTTGACAAATGCCCAGTGGATGATAATGGTGGAGGTTAGTACCAATCCTAAACCCATCTTGGCCAAGATGGAAATCATATGGAAAATCTATGAAAATCATCAACAAAACAATCATTTGTGCTGGGTATTGTTGGTTAGTAACGGTTAGAAGCGTGGGTTTTTAAAACTTGTTATTTTGCAGATGCCTGGTGGCAATAGTTAGACTTCGAAAATGGATGGAGTCACACTGATGACTAGCCATTTCTGGGTCCAAACGGGCACCAAAATTCACCCAGACCCGTTTGGCTATTCATTGGGTGTCAATAGATACTAAGCAAATACATCCACAATAATATCACATAATGCCCATATGAAGGTTTCTTGTGGATTAAAAATGGTGGATCCCCAAGTCACCATGGGCTAACCTATACTAAGTCATGTTCATCCAGTCATCCATGACAGCTGGCAAGGGGGTACCCCCATGACTTAGGAACCTCCATTGATGTTTGTTGGTTTATAAACCCATTAACTATCAGATAGAATGATATAGAATAATGTAAAATCCTATTTATGTACATATATATATGATTGGTGGTTTGGAACATTTTTTATTTTCCATAATATATGGGATAATCCTTCCCATTGACGAACTCATATTGTTCAAGATTGTTTTTTAACCACCAGCCAGATATATATATATACCATAAACCATAGTTATATACATAAACCATAGGTATATCACTATCAGATACATTCAGATACTATAGAATGATATAGAATAATATAAAATCCTATTAACATGGTATAATATAATACTATATATATATAGTATCATTCTATCATATTCTATATCATTCTATAATATCTATTCTAATAATACCATGATACTATAGAATGATATAGAATAATTCTATATAATACGATAGTTATGATACTATTATTATATAAACTCCATGACAAGGTCCACAAAACGCGGCTTAGCGTCATCCACTACGGCTTCGCAAGGGTCGATGTGCACCCAACGTCCGTCTAGGAGAGCTTCAACCCAGACATGCCCTGCGTGGTTGTCCACCTGGGTGCAACGGCTGCCATGATTGCAATCATGGTAGATACCCGGCCTGGTAAACCTACAAAAAACTATTGAAAATGGCCATTTATAGTGGATTTACCCAGCTACGAAATGGTGATTTTCCATAGTTATGTAAACGTTTACCAGAGGGTAATTTCAGAAATATTTTCCCAAGAAGAAAACATTCAGCTTTTTTGATACATGAGATGTTTGGCCATGTTGAGCCCACTCCACATGGAGCCCACTCTGGTAATTTAACATAGCTATTGAAAATGGCCCAGTCGAAATAGTTGATTATCCCAGCTACAAAATGGTGAATCTTTCCATAGCAAAATGTAAACGTTAAAATTCCCATTTATAGTTGATATTCCCATTAAAATTGAGATTTCATAGCAAAATGTCAACCTTTACCAGAGGGTAAGTGTTATCATCATTGCTATATAGATACTAAGGTGATCTAAGGTGAGTATACTGCTTGGTTAATAGGGATTTCCCCATTTGGATCATTATAATCCCCGAGATAATAGCTAGTATAATCCCCGATTATATGTGGGTAAAACAATGCCATGTTTACCAGTCGACTGGAAATGGTTTATGAAGAAACCACCTATAAAAATGGTGATTTTTCTGGGGGATCAATCCAGTTGGTTAATAGGGATTCCCCTATTGGATTGATCCACATGGAGCCCTGGGCTTCCCCGACCCATCGACCAGGCAAAGTGAGGGCTTCCACCAGCCTCAGCGCCAGCCAGGCGTACCTCGGTGAGGTGATCTCAAAAAGGATGCCCCAACGTTATGGCAATGAAACCTTGGGTTTATATTTATATAACTATGGTTTATGATATATATATATATACATTTATACATAATATATATATATATATTTATTTATTATTATTATATATATAAATATATATTTATACATAAAAATAGTATATATTCTAATTCTTTATTGTTCTATAGTATTCTATAGTATCTGATAGTTAATGGCTTTATAAACCAACAAACATCAATGGTGACGACTGGGGATCACCGGGATCCCCCATGACTTATATAAGATTGGTTGATATTAGTGGGTAAACTGATTACTGTACCCTCTGGTTATGTCAACAGTTTGCTATTGAAAATGGCCCAGTCGAAATAGTGGATTTTCCCATGAAAAATGGTGAATCTTTCCATAGCTATGTAAACGTTTACCAGAGGGTAGTCATTTTTCCAATGATAACTGAACATATGGGGAAAGTGATTGGAGTTGAAACTTCCATAGATTTTGTTCCTCCGATAGTGTGATGAATTCCCGCAATTCGCACCCAATTTCAAACATGGAAAGGTTTTGTCTTTTCAAATTGGTGCTCATGTTTACTCACCCACCTTATCACCTTTTTTCAGCAGGTGAAAATGCTGAGTTCAGACTCCGCAGGTATCTCGTCGAAATCGCGATGTTGATGGGTCTCCAAACCAAGGAATCCCAGACACGACGCTGTCAGGGGCACAAGATCAGCCCTTCTGCAAGGAGAAGCGAGACACTTCTTGTGGCAGAATGTCATTTATGCGACTTCCTTTCATCATTGAGTCATACGAGTCATAGTCGCGTGAAAACTTATCATGGAGCCCTAAACGGAATCCCAGTGTTGGCCATTGCATGTGGCCATTTTTGCATACCATATGAAATATTGCCCAGGTGAACCTGTGTGACAGCTTCATGCTGCGCAGAATGAGGTCAGAGTGGAAGGCGTTGCCGTTGCCTACAAACTTGTTAGGTACTCTGCGATTCCACTATCTTTCAGAGTGCCCCATGGCACGACAGATGCGTCTGACAGGATTACAGCAAATGCACGGCTGGTGGCTAAAACCTTCTGTACATGTCTGAGCTGACCTTGGACTTCAGAGCTATCACCACCATAGTCTGGATGGCCCCATGTGGCAACTGATCCGTCTGCCAATATTGCAGCAAATGCCCCCTTAGAGGCCTGCACCTGCTGCACATTGATCAGCTGATGCTGGACTGCAGAGCTGTCACCACCGGTTGTTGGATCTCCCCATGTCACAACGGACCCATTTTCCAGGATCGCAGCAAATGCAAACATTGTGGCCGCAAGCTGCTGCACATTTCTTAGAAGATCCTGCACTGCAGAGCTGTCGCCGCCAAAACGTGGGGCACCCCATGTAACCACAGATCCATCGGTTAGGATCGCAGCAAATGCTTGGTGTGCGGCCTGAACCTGTGCCACACCTTTCAGCTGATCCCGCATTGCAGAGCTGTCGCCACCATTTGCAGGATTGCCCCATGTCACAACAGAACTATCTGCCAAAATTGCAGCAAATGCTTGGTGTGTGGCTCGAATCTGTTGCACATTGATCAGCTGGTGCTGGACTGCAGAGCTGTCACCACCGGTTTTTGGATCTCCCCATGTAACAATGGATCCATTTTCCAGGATCGCAGCAAATGCATGCATTGTGGCCGCAAGCTGCTGCACATTTCTTAGAAGATCCTGAACTTTAGAGCTGTCGCCGCCAAAACGTGGGGCACCCCATGTAACCACAGATCCATCTGTTAGGATCGCAGCAAATGCTTGGTGTGCGGCCTGAACCTGTACCACACCTTTAAGCTGATCCCGCATTGCAGAGCTGTCGCCACCATTTGCAGGATTGCCCCATGTCACAACAGATCTATCTGCCAGGATCGCAGCAAATGCAAATGATGTGGCCTCAAGCTGCTGCACACTCCTGAATCGATCTTGAACTGCGGAGCTGTCACCACCAGACTTTGCATTGCCCCATGTGACGATCCTGTCCCCACCACAGCACCATAGCGCAAATGCTCCTCCTGTTTCTGCTAGCTCTGGCTCCTGCGCAAAAGCGTTGATTGTGTCTCCATCTTGCAGCCCCACATTTTGCAAAGACTGCACAGGATCAGCAAGGAAATGACCTTCTCGGGTAACCAGCCTTAGGAAACCTCGTTGTAAAGATTTCTGGGCCAGATTTCTCAAGTCTCCTACTTTGGAAGACGGGGAGACTGATAAGGTATCAAAGTGACCATTTGGCAAACATATGTTGATGTTCAGCGACATCAAACTACCCTCAAAAGGATACTGTGCTTCATGACCTCTCGAACCAAGCTTTGACATTGGACATGTCTTGCGCACTCTGAGTCCGAGCACACAATAAGTCTGAGCAAAAATCATTCAAGACCACATCAAACAGGGCAGAACACACACATTCACATACAATATGAATCGACCTGGATCAGCAATTTCTTTTTGGGATGTACAACATATTGTTAGTAATTATTGTTTTGTCTGAAAATTTGGTACCCCATTCCCATTCCATCCACCGGGATCTCATAAGGTTCCTCATTAGAATTGTAATTTTCATGGGGGGATATACCAAGGCACCAGCTATCGAATGTGTTGAAGACGATTGGACAATTTGAACACTGGCTCCGCTGCTCTCTGAAGATTAAAACACATTGCTTTTGAGCCAAGTGGGGATCATTTTTGGGGGTTTAGCATGGTTTAGCGCTTCACCACATAAATTCTTGGAACCCCGCAAAATCGATAGACTTAAGTTTCAGTCCAACATGTTGCAGATGTATGCAGATGTATGCAGATCTACATTCCCACATGCTCCATGCAATGGTTCCCCTACATTTGGATCACTTCGGGGGTAAATGGTGGTAAATATTCCATACATCTATGGCAATCATTACATGGAGCATTGGGAAATGTTGGAAAATATTCCCAAAGGTTGGTATTTTCCAGGCGATTTTCCAGGTGTCCAAGGGACTCACCACAGCGACCCCGTTGCGACGCCAAGACCGGACGCACCCGCCGGAAACGGGGGAAGCTGGTGGTGCAGTTGCAGCCTGGTGTAGAAATCTAGAAATCGCTGGGGTCAAGGGGTCAAGTCCTAGAACATGATGTCAAAACCCAAGAAAGGGAGAGTTGAGACATCAAATTGTGAGATTTCACGGAGAAAAAATAGAGGGAATTCATGAATTCCACCAAGAAATTGCTGGAATATCCATGGGATATATCCCAAGCTTGGAATTCTGTTACAGGGGATCATTGGGATATACACAGTATGTATCATACTGGGATTGTCATGAGATATGCCGAATTACACACCATGAACGAACGAACGACAGTCGGAAGGTTCTGAAGAGGCAGAAGCAAACGACAAATACTAACAATCAATAATTCACAGAAATGTGACCGAGAAAAGCAAGGTCTGGCCACAACAAACGAATACTGCAAAGATGACCAGCAGCTATGGTCGTCGTAACATTCAGTGACCAAGATGAAGAAAAAGGGAATATGTCCTCTACTCTATGCGAGATGTATATATGACATATATTGTATATCTCTATATAGATCTATATGTCTATACTATATGTCATTTATCCAGTAGTCTATCGCCAAAACTCTGCGAACTTGCAGATTTTGATCCAAGAGATTACCACAACATCGGAGCCCTTAAGCTGGCTGGTCCTTCGCAGAAATAGATCTCAGAGACTCCTGGAGGGGGGTGAAGCAATGCAAACATACCTGGCGAAACATGGATAACGATCTATAATGTGTATATATATATATATATATGTATATATATATATATACATGATATATATATATATATACATGATACATAAAACAAATAAAGATGGTGTAGAATACAAAATTTTACAAGTACAAGATACATATGGTGTTTATTCAGAACATATTGATAAGATAGAGGAAAAACATACAAATGTATATATATGTATATATATACACATGATGTATCATGATGTATATATAAATTACAAGTATATACATGTATAATCATATATATATATGTATAATATCATGATATTAATATGTTTATGTTGACATATTCTGTTAGCTTATTTTTTTGACCATCTACAGCTCCTGCTCCCCCATCTTCACGCTCCACCTCGCTAGGCCTGGCTGGTGGACTCAACGGCAACGGGTGCGCAAGAAGTGCCCGTGGTACCAGCCAGTCCAGCCATTTGTTGTTTCCCAATACAGGGTGAATGAAGACAATGAAGACACCAAAGCCATGCAAAACAAGAAAACACCCCTGGTAGTTCAGTAGTTTCGGGATCAAATATATGTTGCATTCAAATGTTGCATTTATTTCCAGTAGTACATGGATGTAGCACTTCAAAATCCATCATAGTGACATCGCATGATCCCTCAATGCCCACCCAAAAAAAGACTACATACTTGATTACATGTTAGTCTTGAATCTTGGGGAATCAAAGTCTTAGGACCCACAAATATCTTCAAGGAACATTGCGGCCCCACCAATCTTGAAACCAACTGTCCAACGATCCCACAACGAAGGCACCTGACTACGCCCAGGAAATGCGTAGTCTCATTCATGCAAGATCCGCAGGCTCCATGGTAGTAGGGAAAGAGGTCGCGAAACCAGCTGAAAAATTCCTCCGCGGAGAGTCATCAAACGTGGCTGGGAAATCCTCGAAGGATGTAACATAGGAATATTTCAAAGCGCCCAACCAGCTATTTAACTACAAAATAGAAAGATTGAAAGTCAGGAGCAAAATGTCAGCAGAAACCCTCGCACAGAAAGACCGTGACAAGGAAGGAAAGATGACAGAAGCATAACAAAACTCACAAGTCCCGACAGGAACACTGCACTTTTGTTCATCCCCATAACAAACAGCATAAACAGAACACCGCAGGGTCCCAGAGTACCCTACCTTCAGCTCGTCCACTGCATCTTTGTCTGGATCCTGCAGGTTATCTCCCATGAGATATATTCAAGAATCATGGACTCAGCAAGGTCATTGAGCACTCCCTCATTGGGATGCACGTCCAAATACGTCCAAATGATTTTCTATTGATTTTCTATGATTTTCTATGATTTTGATCCAGCTACAAGTGATTTATATAATCCCTTTTTGTTGTTGACTGGATTTAATGGACTTGAACAGGCCACTGCTGTCCTTCACAGCCTCCAACAATCGCTGCAAGCCATCTTCGCCATACTCCTTGCGATGGATGAGTTCAGAATGCTCACGATTTTCCTGGAACAACTTGGATTAATGATTTAGTGGGATTAATGAGATTAATGATAATGGAATTGATGTGATGAATCCCACCTAATGGGATTAATGGGTTTAATGATATCTAATGGGATGAATGGGATTTACATGGATTTACACTAACTATAGTAGGATCCAACTCTTGGTTTTCAATGGTTTTCACATCAATTTTCCTGCTATAAGTTTGGATGTTCTCGCCCCCATTCATAGAGAGAACCACAGAAAATCAGACGGTTTGATTTGGCAAAACCACCGCCACCATGACCCTGGTACAGTATATCACCATGATATCATATGAGTTTGTCACAGTCCCATGATTCGTTGTTATTATATTCATCATTTCCATGTTTTTGTTACAATCCCATGGTTTTAGAACCTTCCCCTCTTAATCCATCGTTCAAGATCTGGGTTTGTCAGAAAAGTCAAACAATAAGCCCCTTGGTTGCCTTGGTTCATCGTCACTTCCCCCTATTTCCCCCATCAAAATTTTGGGGTACCCCATTTTGAAACAAACAAAAAATCTCTGGACATCCGGCAAAAATGGCGTGCGATCCACGAGTCTTCCCCAATCCATTGAAGCAGTTCAACATCACTGGCTTCCGTGGATGGACGTTCCAGCACCCGCGCGATGCTGCGCAGCACATCCTCCGCGGTGGGCGGTTCTCCATGCACCGGACGCTTTCCTGAGGCTGGAAACAATTTAGATCGATTGGGATCGATTGTTTTAATAAGATCCGCAGGAATCAATTTAATGTTTTTAACAATAAGGGCTGTTGTTTTTAACATTATTATCTAACATTGTTTTAATCCATAGAGTTTTTACCCATAGTTTATACCATTGAGGCCGTAGGGTTCCGTAGGGTTTAATAATAATGTTCCCATCCTATTCTGCGATTCTGGGCAAATCTAGACATGTTTGGTCCAAAACTGGGCCAACCTCAAAGTTCCACCGAAACTTCGGTGGAACCGGTTATTGGGGTCTTCTAGCTGTTTCCATTTTCGGAAGACACCTTTTTTTCTGGTTCAAATGATGATTACCCTCTCGTAAACGAACGAAGCTATTGAAAATGGACCATAGAAATAGAAGTTACCTATTTCACGGTGATGTTCCATGTTTTTTTCTATACCAGAGGGTTTGAGTGTCCCATGTCGGTGATTTCATGGCACCATATGGCACCAGGGTGCCAGTGCGCAGCCACGCGAAGGCGTCATAGCCTGAGGTTTCCACATGAAATCAGGTGACGACCTAATACTTACTGGTGCGTTTTACCTAGGGAATGGATGGGTTGCTGGGGGTTGCTGGGATTATTATTAATTAATAGCTAGCCAGTGGATCATTCCCGAAAATCCCCTACGTTTAGCACCAGTAAGAATAATACATGACTAGGGAAACCACAAGTAGAGACGCTACAGAATCAACATAGTGTTAGTGAGCAATAGTAAACCGTCCCCAGATCTACCATAAATGGTTGGTATCATGCATAAACCATCAATCCATATGATGTGGTTTATTAAAATGAAGTGCCGGACCGACCTGATGGTTTTCTACCAGCTGATGGTGACGTGTTTGGCCACCGAGTTCTCATCATTTTCCCATCCCATGTTTTTTCTTCCAGTCTTCGAAGCCGGCCGAATACAAAAAACTGGCGTGTAAGCAACATGTCTCTGTATACATATATATAATTATATATATATTATAAACACATATTGTGCATACCTAGACTCTCTTAGTAGCTACAATAACAAATTGATAACCTTTAAAAGAAGGGCTAAAATACTCATTTGTTTTTTTTGTGAATAAATGTTCCCAGCAAACTGCCCATCCTGGTGGTGTCAAGTGTTTCAAGCCAGGTCACATGAGACGAGCAAACGGCCCTGGTCCCAGTGGCTGTTCATCCGTTGTCGCAGCTCATCCGAGCCCAGCGTCCGATAAGTCGACCTTTGGGACACACTTTGCTGCGACCTGGGGGCTGGAATGGGTGTTGTCCAGATAGCCCTATACATATAATGGGTATGTTTATATATATATATATAGATATAGACATAGATATATTATAATCACATATGATAGAATGATAGAATTACATTTGATACACACATGTTGTAGATAATAGATGCAGAGCGTATGCGTGATATATATATATATATATGATATATGCATGATATATGTTACCATTGGAAAACAAAACAATAATGATTTAAATGATGTTGGAAACCATGTTGAAATACGACAATGACATAGAATAAAATGATATGAAATGATGAAATTATGAAATGGAATGAAACGCTGTTTGATGGATTCAACTTCCCTCCCCTCCCAAAAAATAGGGATAGTTATCCATCCCAACAACCTGACCTGTAGACTTTGACAACGGCTTCCAGTGCCAACTTGCATCCCAGTAAGTGCAATGATTATATAGATATATAAATTGGAACTTGTAACCCACATACATATTATATACAGTAATCAGATGTAAATAAGCTGTATATGTTCATGTATCGTCTCTGTTAGTAAGTTATCATAATCTACATCCCATAATATATATATATATACATATTCATAATTATATATACCATACTTATATGTATATTATATTATATTGATATACAATACATATACTATTCCGGTATTGCACAGTACATAGCATCCCAGCCATGTGGTGAATTCATGTGAATTCACCATCCCAGCCTGAAGTAGCCATGTTTTTTCTCGGAAGTCCAAGCATCTAACTCCTGACAACGTGAATTTCAGCATGATGTTTAGCAGTGTTTAGTATGTTTACGTTTCACATAAAGGCTAGCAAAAAATTAGCAAACTTGAATAGGAATTTGGGTCAAAAGTTTAGGGGGCACTCGCAAAATCTGCCATCAGCCAGCAAAAAAACTGGTGGGTCAAGCTTCAAAAAGTACTCCATTAACCACCAAGATATGAAAGCGGCGATAGAACCCAAGAAACGCATCTGAGGGATCAAAAGGAATTTGACCTTAAAAGAAAGGAAATCAATATTATCAATATGGCTATGGCTCAATTTTTGCGGCCCTGGGAACCACAAATAGAGTGGCAATATTAGGTCCTCACCAATACCTTTCATGTGAATCGAGCTTTGCGAAACAAACACTTTTGGGTATGGAATTTTCATCTGTGGATATGTTTCAAGAACGAACATCAAAAATTGAGCAAACTCGATGGAGACAGTGAAAACTATGGAACTAGCTCCCCAGCATGGTATCTCTGGACCTCTTGGGGATCAACTGTTCTTGGATATGGGCTGATGGCAATGATGGCAACCAAAACTTTGGAAACCAATTACCAACGCCATAGGGTTCCCCAGCAAGCAAAGTGGATTACATGCGATGGGGTACATGGTACAAGTATTATCCCACTTAGTCTGGGTTGCTCCCACTCCCAACACCTCAACTACAAAGAGAATTTCTACTAAAGAAGTAATACTGTAAATAAAATGGCCATGGCAGCCATGTCTTGTGGATATCGTCATACCATGTCATACCTATAATTGCCTATAATAGGTAGTACTACTGACTACTGTAATCAACCCTGCCAATTGTTCTGGTTGAAGCTGGAGAATTGAGAAAACCATGATCTTTCAATATAGAGCTATCATAGATTTTTGTCCATTCAATTCTGGGATTTATCTTTTTTTTTTGGCTCATGTTTAGTCTAAAACTGATCATAGCCAACCTTCTGGGGTGACTTGGAAATCCCAGCACGTCCTCCAACAAATCCTCTGGCTTATCTGCACAACCTGCTTCACCTGACAGCATTTTTGGTTCTTCATCGGATGGCCCAACTGATTTCAAAAGGGACCGAATGGCCAGCGAATCTTGGGGGACCGTTATGGCCCAGTTTCTTAGAAACAGGTGGATAAAGAAGATTAGAGAAGAACATATTCAAAATATATATATTTACTAAGTATGGTATAGTCATAATAATATACCATACTTATATGCTGCTGCATCCTTTTTGGCCCAAAACGGACTTTTTTTTGTATCTTACCATCTCATGAAATAAATCTGCTAGGGGGCCCTTGACTACTTCTTGGCATTGGATGGCCTGCACCAGAGAGTCACAACTGCGATTTCCTTTCATCTGCAGCGCAATCAACGTCAGAGCCGGAGAATAGCCTTATAGAATTTATAGAATGTATTCCACGGTATGTGCTCTTGCACATAGCTCTCCGAATTGAAAGCATGCTACGCAGGCAATTGGGAGCAAAAAGATGTTTGAAAGAAAATGTTCAAAATGATCATGGCTCAACATTGGGATCATGGTTGAAAATTGGAGACATGATCCGGAGAGAGGTCCGGAGAACTCGTTTCGACGCTCGAAACAAAATTGAGGTACCAATTTGCCCGCCCAAAAAACAGTGTGTCTTTTAGATATATTAGATGCTGTTCTTGGTATCATAATCACATGTTGTTTGTTGCGGTCAAGAATGTTGAGCCATACCCAGATCTCAACCTCTTCAAGGTTGATCCTGTCAGAAAATGGCCTCATTGGCTGAAGTCGAAGAGTTTCCAGAACCAATCAAGACCTGAGGGTTCTTCGTCAAATCCATTGTCTTGACGCCTCCTCTTCATGACTTGCCGAAAGCGTCGCGGATTCTGCCGCACTTCCATCATGAAGCTATCCAAATAACTTGCAAAGCTGTCATGGGTCAAGCGGTTGGGCTGGGAATCCTTAGCCTCCGTCCAGGAGTAGAAAGATCTTCGGATGGCTTTCATGCCCTCATCCACATCCAGCTGACGACCTAACCAAACATCTCCGACATCTTCATGGCGGCCATAGCTCACGCTGGAAGGCACTCGAAGCATGTCTGGCGCATCTGGCAGGTCTGGTTTGTCATCAAATTCACAAACCTTGGGTTTCCGCGGCAAGGGCAAATTCAAGGGGCCTTTCCCACCGAAGGAGGTCATGATCTTGACAAAATGCCGGTCACGCCATAGGATTTCGAATGGATCAATGGTCTTGAGGCCTACATGGCTACACCAAGCGCTGGGAAGTCGAGAACGGAAGCAGGTCACCCTTTGGGATGATTTTGCGAAACGTGGGAGTCCCCATTGCCAAGTCTGAATACAGAAGGTAGCACCCTGGTTTCATGGCAAGTTCACCCTGACAGTAGCCACATGTAGCATATCATATCATATCCATATCCATATCCATATGCATATACATATACATATACATATACATATACATATACATATACGGATTCATATCATGTAGCCACAAAAATTGTTCAGCATCTCAATTCTGAATTGAATTTACAAGCTGGACTTTGGGAATAGCCTCCGGCGTCATCTAACATGGCGTGCTGTAACATCCAGCATCTAGTCGATGATTTTCCCAGCTATATAGACATAACATACGAAAACCCTCATTTTTGGGGGATGTCCCAAATTTTGCATAGTTTTCCCATTACAATCTCCGTTTAATCCAGGGATATCCTATATGGCCATACGTCGCCAGCTCAGCCCAGCCTGTCACGGACAGCGCCAAATAGTCTCGGCCACGCGAACGCGTTTCGGCCACCAGCAGACTGACAGCTTCGTCTGCAGGCTCTGCAGGTGGCTGAGCGAAGCCTGCGAATTTCATCAAATCACTTCCGCCGTTTGAGTTTGACAATCATATAAAAATAAATGGATTTATGATGGTTTATGAAGGTTTATGAAGGTTTATGATGGCTTATGGAAACTGCAACCTGGACCAAACCATGGTTGAAATGTGTCAAGCCATTCACACTAGCATATATGTCCTTCTGGCGTAGACTCAAAGGTCACTTTTGGGAAACCCCATCGACCCATGGAATCCAACATCTGACCCACAAAAATGCTACAGATGCCACCCTTTGCCCACCTGGACCGGAGCGATGATAGAAGCAATGGATGCCAACCACGCTCAGCACCACATGCCTGGCGAAGGAGAATCCGATAATCCGGTGCTTCTGACGCTGCAGCTGGATGGTCAAACCATCACCCTGACCCGTGACCGTGGTGACCTACCTGCTAATGTATGCAGTTGCATGATGTTGCATGCATTACCAATCCCGTCCCTCTATAGACTCTAAAGTGTTCAACGAATCTGGGACGCACATATGCTGCGGGGGCGTTGAAAAAGATTGGGGGAAAGGGATTGTTCACATATCTTCCATCATATCTCCAATCAAGTAAAAGTTGATAATTATGGATAAGTGGACTTGAGGCCCAGGGGGGGTGAACGAAAGCTAAAGGTTATATGAATGTGGAACTAGGTGAGGTGAACTCGGAAACATGCAGGGAAGGGTAGATGACAGTGATCCATATGGAAGGATTCAAGAGGGTGTCGCAGAAGAAGTGTAATTTTCAGTTTGCAGTCCTATAACATGTGACGCAAAGAACATGGGTAGTGGAAAAAATTGGGCCCCTATCGAGTCAAGAATGGTTTGTAAGAAAAGATGCTTAAACTCAGCTTGTTCGGGGGCCAAGTCTTGGCTTGACTTTTGGCAAAGTCCATGCATAAATTCCTGTTGCCCTTCCAACCATTTATGAGCTTGCTCCTCAGAGAAATTTCCGAGTCCGAAGCGTTCAACCCGTCTACCAGTCGATCTTCCAGTTTCATAAAAGCATGGGGCGGTGTTCATTGGGTGCCGCAAGAGCAATAAAGCGCCCTGCTTGCTGCAAAACAATTTGATATCCATAGCAACTGTCTACCAACACAATCTCACAAGCAAGATTTGGTAGAAATTTTCCTTTGTTTTTTGGAAACTCAAAAAAATCAGATTTATTTAAGGCTGAGTCTTTTCTGGCGAGGCATTGGTGTATCACACCAAGCAAAACTGTTTTTGTCATTTCTATTCCTGGTTCAGCGGTCTTAAAAATTTCTAAACGTTTTTGCAATATCTGGTTACACTTGGTTTTTATTTCCCCTGATATTTGATTTTTCTCAAGTCGACAACGCTGTTTTTTTGATGGTCTCAATTTTGTATATAATTAAATCTGCCATATGCTGCTGCATTTGTGTTTGCAAGACTTCTACATTAATTTTTGCTGTGCTTTGCGCGTTTGTTGCAATAGGGGTTTCCCCAAGATCGTCCTCAAAGAAAACTGATTCATGCAGTCGATCAATTCATAAAATTAACCATGGTGTTTTTTTCCGATAACAAAGGACATTTTTCCTTGCAAAGCTTTAAAGCTGGCGTTGCGCTTTTTGATGTCCCTTAAATAGCCATTTAGTCTTTGCAAGGCTGCTGGTTCGAGTTGAAGATGATTGCAAAAAATATCTCGAATATTTTCAACGCCTGATTTATCCAAGCCTTGAAATGCCCTATCTGGTAACTCCTCATATTCATGTTGGGATGCGACAAATGATTGACACACATCACTGGCAACATACCGACATCCAATGTCAATGCTTGAAGAATATTTTTAAAAAAACACAAAAACATTTTTAATTAATTCCTTAGCCCTCGGGTAATGATCTTGCACAAATTCAAGCAGTGACACAGCTTGGCCAGATTGTTTATTAAATTCCGCGTGTTGATCAGCAAACTGTCGCGCTACGGTTAATTCATAAGTTTCATTCACTCGCCCGAGTAACACAATGTGCGCGGGATCAATGGTGGGTTGTTTTTTCTCGGCTTGGTCTTGCTTGAATCGCTCTATCTCTAGTGGTGTAGCGAGTCCTGAGCCAGATCCTTTTAGTTCAATATAAGCCAACAATGGAAATTGATTCTGTTTAATTCTATCGGCATTGGTCTCTGCAATCAGCCCAAGAAATTCATACAACGTAGGTATGCGATAGTCTTGAAGAACAAGACCAGCAGGGATTTTAGCACTTTCCGGTGCTGTGTCTACAGTCAAGGTTTGAACTTGCCCAAAGGTTAATTCATCAAAATTTAATTCACCTGGGTCTTTACCTATTTTCTCTGCCAGCTCAGTTAAAGCTTTATCACGAACACAATAATAATTGTTCACTACTAAAGGGCCATGTACTAGGATTGCATAGCCATCTTTTGTGACATGTATATCGCACTCGATCGCACGCCCACCATGTGGATCGCTTGCATTGAATTGCTGTATGGTAGCTTTTGCTGCTGCCAAAGTATTTTCTGGCCAGTCATTGGGCTTGACATTCACCCCTCTGCCTCGATGCGCCGCGATACTAGGCCCCCGAAGTTCAAGCAAATCCTTTTGGCTTAAACCGCCCTTCTGCAGCCACACTGCATATCACTTGATGTAATGCAGAAATCCCCAATTAATTTTTTCTTTTGTGCATAATTGTCTAGGGTAATGGGCTCTTGCTTTGCTGATTTTTTTGTTTCCACAGGGTGGTATTTGCCGGCATCGTTCGCTTCTCGGGGTAATTTTCGCTTATTAAAAGCTTATCCGTGCCACCATCCACAGGGACTGGGTCAGCTGTCGCTGAATCGATGTCACTCATTAGGCCTTCTCCAGTGGCAGCCAACTTGGCTGCACTAGCCAAAGCATCAGGCTTATGGCTTCCGACCAAGGCACAGGTGAACATTTAGAATCACAGGTACCTCATTCTTTTGGGTTCCAATCGACCCTGCACAAAGTCATCGCCAGTCGTCGCTTGTTCTCCACCATCTCTGCTGCTGGTGCCCACTTTAATACATTCAGCGGCCTGGACGACTCGCCCAGGAGATGGCTCAGTCAGAATAAACTTGCATGCCCCGTCCGGAAAAAAGCATATAAAGCTTTCTGGCTTTTAGCCCCTCTGGATGAAGATTTAACCCTCATCTTGAAGAGGAACTTATCCCGGGAACCTAAGTTCCCATCCCCATTTTGAAAGGCAAGTCCGCTGATCTTTTGATTGCCATTCTTGAACCTATCAACGATAAACTGTGCCGTTCCTTGTGGACCTTTTGCGAGTCAGGCATCTGGGCCTCTCGTAATTAAGCACTGCTTAGATGGTGCAATCTTTCAATAGACGCTCACATATCGAGTGTTTCGACATTCTGTCTCATCAGTATTGGCATCCAACATGTTAACCGACTAAGAAACTAAAGTCAACGACTTGTTTAACGACTTTTTAATGTATAGCCACGATTTTACAGCCATTGTTATCAATAACACGAGAAGGTATGGCCTCGCTTATATGCGCATTCTATATCCACCGTTAAACTACCTCCACAACAGGGTATATTTACCCCTCTTTGGCAAAAGAGCGGCTGCCACAAGCAAGTGGGGAGATTCCCAATTAAGGCTTAAGCTTCGACTCGCTTGCTTGTTGTGGTTCACTTGCTGCCCTGGGTTTGTCCGCCTCGACACAAGAAGATTTTCGAAAATTAGACCAAGCAAAACTTTAAAACAGCCAATTGAAGATTCCGATGCTTGTAGCTCATTCTCAACCGCCTCCAATCTATCTGATCCCAATTTCCCAGGCAGCTCATTTATCGTATCCATATTTGGCCCCCAAAACGGATACAAGCAACTGAAGGAAAACACTTTTTTGGACCTCGTTCCATGTCTTCTGGGCCTGGACACTTTTCATGGACCTTACTACAATTCTTTTGGAGATGGCTGCCCTTCTTTTGGACCTGCACACCCTCCTGCTGGACCTGCGCACCCTCCTGCACACCCCCTTTGGATAGATTCTCCAAGCTGGCGTCTTGATCGTAATTCTTCAGACAGTAGGGGGCTAGAGCTGCGCTACAGTACCATGCAACATGGCAGGAAGCATTTCAGTACATTGTGTGGTTCAGTGCCTCCTTCCCTTTTCTGCCCTCTTCTCAACTCCTACTTTTCACACCTCTTCGGCCCTTTCTCAGTTGCGCAGGGGCTCAGCTGGGTGTCTACCTGGGTGAAAGTGCCTTAGTTGGGGACATTCATCTGGTTTCAATATCTAAACTTCCCCCCTTGTGCCTCTCATCAAACTTCCTACATTTCCTGCATTCATTAAGTTTCAATATCTATACTCCCCCCCGGCCCTGGCCTCTCCACAAACTTCTTGCGTTCATCTTGTTTCAATATCTAAGATTCCTCCCCGGTGCTCCTCAACAACTTCCTGCATTCATCTTGCTTCAATATCTAAACTTCCTCCCCGGTGCCCCTCAGCAACTTCCTGAAATCATTTGATTTCATACCTGGTTCCCCCGTTGCCTCTCCGCATTTTCTTGCATGATCTAGTTTCTAAATCTAGGCTTCCCCCCCTCGTCTCTCCACAACTTCTTGCATGCTTCGTCATTTGGGTTCAATGTCTAGGCTTCACCCCTCATCTCTCAACAACTTTTTGCGCTCATCCTGTTTCAACATCGAACTTTCCCTTCCCCCTTTGTGCCTCTCAACTTCCTGCATCCATTTAGTTTCATATGTAGGTTTCCCCCCGTTGGCCTCTCTACAACTTCTTGCCTTTATGTTGTTTCAATATCCGAATTTCTCCTGCACCCCTCTGCCTCTCAGCAACTTCCTGCATGCATTTGGTTTCAATATCTCGGCTTCCCCTGTCTCTCAACAACTTCTTGCGCTCATCTGGTTTCAATATCTAACTTCCCCTCCATGTGCCTCTCATCAAACTTCCTAAACTTCCTGCATTCATTGGGTTTCAACACCTATGCTCTCCAGGGAGTGCAGCGCCCCTCTCCTTGTGACACATTGGGTTTCCCACCTCCTTCCCATTCTGTCCTCTTTTTCTCAATTTCTACTCTTCACACCTCTTCCGGCCTCTCAGTTACGCACGGGCTCAGCTTGGTGTCAACCTGTGTGGAAGTGCCCCACTTGGGGGCATTCATCTGGTTTCAATATCTAAACTTCCCTCCCTTGTGCCTCTCAGCAATTTCCTGCATTCATTCACTTGGTCTCAAGACTTCACCTCTGGCCTCTTCACAACTTTTTGCATGCATCTCAACTTGGTTTCAATGTCTAGGCTTCCCCCCTTGTCTCTCAACAACTTCTCGCGCTCATCTGGTTTCAATATCTAACTTCCCCCCTGTGCCTCTCATCAAACTTCCTAAACTTCCTGCATTCATTGGGTTTCAATATCTATTCTTCCCCCGTAGCCTCCCCACAACTTCTTGCGTTCATTTTGTTTTAATATCGAATCTAAGCTTCCTCCCCGGTGCCCCTCAACAACTTCCTGCATTCATCTTGCTTCAATAGTCCCGGTGCCCCTCAGCAACTTCCTGCATTCATTTGGTTCTAAATCTGGTTCCACCGTGGCCTCCTAAAGTCCCCCCCACCTGTGCCTCTCAACAGCTTCCCGCATTCATGTGGTTTCAATATAACCTTTCCCCACATCGTCTCTCCACAGCTTCTTGCATGCACCGTCATTTTGGGTTCAATATCTAGACTTCCGCTTCTTGTCTCAGCAACTTCTTGCGTTCATCCTTGTTTCGATGTCTAACTTCCCCCTCTCCCACCTGCCTCTCTCTCACCAATTTTCTGCGGTCACCTGGCTTCAATATCTACAGGTTCCCCCGTTTCTCTGAACATCTTCTTGCATGCATCCTGTCTCAATATCTAAATTCCCCCCACCCTGTGCCTCTCAGCTGCTTCCGGCATTCATTTTTGGGTCCCAAAAATTCCCCCTGCGTCTCTCAGCATTTTTTGCATGTATCTTCATGTATCTTCATTTAGTTTCAATGTCTAGGCTTCACCCCTCATCTCTCAACAACTTGTTGCGCTCATCCTGTTTCAATATCGAACTTTCCCTTCCCCCTTTGTGCCTCTCAACTTCCTGCATCCATTGCGCTTCATACGTAGACTTCCCCCATTGGCCCCTCCACCTCTTACGTTTCTGCTGTTTCAATATCCGAACTTCCCCGGCATCAACAACTTCTTGCATGCATCTTGTCTCAATATCCAAATTACCCCCACCCTGTGCCAGGTCCAAAAAAACATGTACGAGTTCAAAAAAAGCAGGCGCCAAGGTCCAAAAACATCCAGCCCAATGTGAGCGCCTATAACAATGGAGTTTCCCCCCACCCTATGGAGGCAAGGTCCACGAAGCAGGCGCACGGGTCCAAAAAACAGAAACCAAGCTCAGTAACAATTAATTTGGCTGTCTCAAAAAATGTCCCTGGGTCCAGCACAAATACATGCAGGTCCAAAAAAAAATATCCCCACAGAGTCCAGAAAACACACAGGCACGTCCCCCACATTTTTTGCCCCCAGGTCCAAAAAAAACGGCCAGGTCCAAAAAACATGTACAGGTCCAAAAAAAGGGTGCCCTGCCCAGGCCCAAAAAACATGCATCCCCAACTGAAAACAGCATTAGCAATTGAACATGGGGAGAAATAGAATAACCCCATATGACCAAAGGTTTAGATTCTAGCTATTCTCTTCTAATCCCCGGAGACATAGAAGCATATCTAGTGCTTTCATAGCTCGTCATAGGCTTTCAATGCTCTAGAACTTGGTCTTTTGATTTCTCATCGACACACAAAAAACCGTTTTTTTCTAACCAAGCCAATATCAAACCTACATAAGGGGGGCAGATCGGGGAATCTGTCCAAGGTGATATTGAAATTGCCACTGCAATCCAGCTGTTTAATATTCGCTTAAATTGGGAAAGATTTCTAATTTATTATCCTCCAAATCAAAATCCTCCAGCGTCTTCGCCAATGCATTAAAATCTTCTGGCAAGTGCGACAGCTCATTTTCAGAAACATCCAATTCTCTAAGTTGTCTAAGCGGGGAAAACACCCCCTCGGGTATCGATTCAAGTTCTTGTCCGGATAGGTCGAAGTTGACTAAACGATGACACTGTTGCAAATTTTCATTTTTTCATAGCTGCTATAGTTGCGTTCAAACAATTTAGCCAAATGTACGGTTTCATCGCCTGATGCATTTAATGTATCCAGGGTTTGCAATTGCTCTTTAGATAGACCAAGGAACGAATCTATATCACTCACTTTATTCATTGCCAATTCCACTACTTTGTTTATCAAAAATGTTTGGTTTCACTCAATCAAAAGATTTATGACACCTGCTTTAATAGCTATTAATTAAAAGAATTGGATTGACGCACCAGAATAAAAACACTTATGCGAATGATCTTACAAACGTTTTTAAAAATTCAGGTTGGGTTTTAAATATAACACCTTTATTGAAAAGAAAGGCTTGTGTATTTAAAAATCACACAATCAAAAAGCCCGCTGGCTTCGCTTTCTTAAAGCTCATCAGTGCCACTAAACTTGTAGCAGACCAGCGAGCCCCACAGGGACCGCGCAGTCGTTGGCGATCAAATAATACTGCTGGCGCTTTTAAGTTCACATGGCTTTCGCTTGCCACCCGACGTACCACATAGCAGAGCAGCACTGAGCTGCTTGCCACCGTAATGCCGACGGCAAACAATCATCACAGCGCTGGTATGATCTGGAGACCCAATTGGGAGTGGCTCAGCATAACGTAACTGACGTCACTGACGTCACATACTGGCCTATCAAGAATGGTCTCAGAGCGTTCCACTGCAGGCGCTGTGCAGCCTACGATCCTGCGAGCTTCACAGGCCAATTTCTGTGCAGCAGCACATGCGGATCTTCTTTGTGTGAGAGCTAAGGGCTATCGTGCACTGTCCAAGCAGTCACCCTGCGTCCACTCTCCCACCATCTCTACACAGGCATGAGGTTTAGCCAATGGGCAAAAAA